CCTTGCCCCCCGCCCTGGCCCCGCCGATGACCACCGCCCAGTTCCTGACGCCTCCCTCCCAGCACAGCTACTCCTCCCCGATGGACCACACGCCCAGCCACCAGCTGCCGGTCTCCGACCACCCCTTCCTCACCCCGTCCCCGGAGTCGCCCGACCAGTGGTCCAGCTCCTCGCCCCATTCCAACCTCTCCGACTGGTCCGAAGGCATCTCCAGCCCGCCCACCAGCATGGCGTCGCAAATGGGACACATCCCGGAGGCCTTCAAGTAGAGGAGGCATCGTCTCCGAAAAACCTTCCGCCAGCGAGTGGGCGGGGGGGGATCCCGGGCGGTGTCCTCGTGCAGAGAGGCTCCGGCGAAACCCGGGATGATTTCCTCGCGCAGAGACGCTCCGGCGAAACTCCAGGATGATTTCCTCGCGCAGAGACGCTCCGACGAAACTCCAGGCGTTTTTCCTCGCTCAGAGACGCTCCGGCGAAACTCCGAGAAATTTCCTCGTGCAGAGACACTCTGGAGGGACTGCAGTACTCTGTGTTTTTTTTCTTAAAGAAAAATTATTTTTACATACACGTGCGTGGAAAATACAATGTTCCTTCCCCCCCTCCTTGTGATATTTATTTATGTACTTTTTTTTTACATGGAAACACTGTTTTTTTTATTTATAAGTTCTGTTAAGAATTCAAACGGGCGCCTCGGCTGCATGCCAAGAAATTTTAAAATGTATGAATAGGTTTGATGCTCTGCTTTTTTTAAAAAAATGATGTTGTTTTCTTGTGTAGAGAAGTTTTCTTCTGTAAAGCTATAAGCAAAGATCCATGATTATGAAAAGAGATGTATTTATTGAACAGGATGATTCCCCTCCTGCCTGTTTTAAGTCTGGAATGGTGGTTGGGGGGAGGGGACAAATTGGTGAAAAACGTTGCCTATTTGACAAAAAAAAGAGGATAATTTAATGATTTTTAAAAGTTGTGCTTTAAAATATTTGTTTGGAATAATGATGGACAGAACCAGGGGAAAATGCTAAGTTTCCATCCATGAATCTTTGTTTAAAAGTTTCAGTATTACGTAGTTTAAACATTTCTCTCTTTTTTGCATGATAGTGCATCTTGGTTTTTTAAAAAAATTTATTTCAAATGCAGTAGGACCCTCGTTATCAGCTGGGGATCGGTTGGAAGCCCTACCCCGTGGACGCTGGAAAATGCAGATTATAGCAAACGCTATTTTAATAGCGTACTCTATCCATAGTATGATCTGTGCCTCCCTCTAGTGGCCAGTTCTGGTAACTTCCCCTTTAGAAATACATATTTCTAAGACGCTTCTTTTAATATTTTAAAAGACCGCGGATTAGCGGATACCGATCCCGCCGATCCCGGGGTCCTACTGTACTGCCTACGATCAACAATCCAGGATCACAGGGTTCTAAGCTACAAACAAAATCTTCCTGTAAGCCCCTCTCCCTTTTTCCTCCACTTCCATTGCATAAAAAAAAGCCCCCCAACCTATTTAGCCTGGAAGGAGCAAAGAGGTTTTCCCTCCGAGACTGCCTTGCAATGATGCTGTTGCAACCAGGCTCTCTCGCGATACTGGGGACCGTGGCCACCTGCACTGTGAGGATGAACGAAATGCCATCTTTAGGACGGAGAAGGGACCCACACATGGCCCTCCCCTAGGGAATCCTAGCAGCCCCCGGAGGGCAAGGGACCCTCCTCCGAGGGCGCTTGAGTGTGAATTTGGGGGGGGACCCCTTCTCATCCGTAGCGTGCCCAACACCTTTGGGGTTTTGCAGCCAGAGCCCGGCGGGCTTCCCCTGATGGTGACATGACGCAACCAGAAACCAATAGGTAAGAGTATGGTTTTGGTTTTAAAATAATAATAATAATTTTTTTAAAAGAGAGGTCGGGCTCCTTTTCAGGAACAGCGCAGTGTTTTTACTGTGGATCCGTGTTCTTTGGCAACTAGGAGAACAGGGCGGAAGGAAGTGGGGGGGGGATTTGACTTTTGTAAAATGAATTTGAAAGTATATATATATATAAATAGTATAAGCCTATGGCAAAGCTAAATGTCCTGTCCAGTAGCGGCAAGGGTGGATTTTGTTTAAAAAATCTGAACGGTTTCGTCAAATGTCCGTTGCTGGGGCTGGAAAAAAGAGGTTGGATGATGTCTCCGAAGCAACGTAAGGTGCTCCCAGGTGGTCAAGGGAATAGACAGATTTGTTTCGCTGGTAGACAAGAAGGATAATGTTCCCGGTGATTTGCAGCCTACAAGCTTTAGTGGTTGCCTTTGGCATCGCCATCATTGAATTTTCAAGGACATACAGTGGGACCCCCTGCATCCGTGGGAGACCCGTCTCAAACACCCCGCGGATGCCGAAAACTGTGGATAAGAGCAAACGCTATAAATGTCATTGGTCTCTGGCTCCCTCTAGGGGCCAGTTCTGGTAATGCCATCTTTATAGATAATCTATTTCTAGGATTTTCCTTCTAAGGTTTTTAATAGTTTCACACCGTGGATCAGCGAATCAGCAGATACTGATCCCGTGGATAAAGGGGTCCTTCTGTACTTCCTAAACTCAAAAAAAATGTGCATCATGTGATGCTGGCCCACTGTCAGGACTGGTGGGGACACCTTGATGGGCGTCGGGGAGGGAAATGTCTTGAGCACCCACCTCTTTGGGACAGGCGGATATTTTCGAGCGAGTAATTTTTCCTACACCCTCGGGTGTTAAATCTTTTATGTTTTATAAACTAGAATGTAGTTTATCCGCAGGGATTGAGGGGGACGGGGAGAGGGGAAAAAACACACAACCTTCTGTATTAAAAAAAAAACTTCATGCAATACTGTAGTTTGCAAAAATGATGTATTTTTTTGGTTAACGGATTTGCAATAAAACGTGCCTCCGGGCACCTAGAATTTTACTAAACGCTGGATGTGGCTTGCCTTTTTTTTGCCCCCCTCCACGTGCGGTCTCTTTGGGAAAATAGGGTACGGATGCGCCCTGGGAGCGAAACCCTGTCGGAGGAGACAGGAACTCTTCCAGGACTTTGTAGCTTTAAATTTTAAAAGTGATTTAAGACGGCTAGACACGAGTATCTGGGAGAGAGGAAGCCCGGCTGCACGTTGATGCTTCGTAAACTTGCTTAAGAGTTCTGGCTGGACACCCTGATGAGCTAGATTTCCGGCTGCAGGACCAGAAATCGGGAATCCAGCTTCTTCGGTGGCTCTCCTGGCAGATGATCCCACCGTGGCTGGCTGACCTTGGGCAAGCGGCATCAAATCAGGGACTCGGGTGGGGCCTCGAAGGCCATCTAGACCAACCCCCCTGCAGAGTCCTGCCTCGTGGACCGGACCCCAGCTTTCCACTCCCATGGAACTGTTCCCCCCCCAGCCCACGAAGAGGGGCAGAGAAAAGGCACACAGCTGCTCCCCCCCCCAAAAAAAGGAGCCAAGAGTTGAACTCGCCTCCTAGAAGGGGCCTGCCCCATCTCTCTCTCTCTGCCCTCCTGCACCACCCTGGGAATCTCTTAGCCACCCTGCATGTGCGTCTTCTGGGCTCTCACATCGGAACCGACTGGTAGCCACCCTAAGGGAGCTTTGCTGGGAAAGGCGGGAGGGCGGCAGGCAAAGAGGACAGCCAGGCAGGAGACCGACTGACTCCCTTAGAGGAAGCCACGGGGTTGAGTTTGCAGGGCAGTGGAGGATGGGACCGTCTGGTTGCATTCTTGGCTCATTCTTGAGGCCGCCATGAATCGGAGGCGACTAGGTGGCTGGGACAGGGCTAAACGGAAGGAGAGATAGTGCCGGAAGATGAGACTCCCAGGGCCAGGGACCTTTTGGAGGTCACTCATTATTGGGGCTGCCATGGGTCGGGGGTGTGTGTGCTTTTGACAGCAGTATAAGGGACCCCTGCAATCCATGCAGACCAAGCACAAGACCATCAAGCCCAGAATAAACCACAAGAAGCCTTGGGGCACCTGGGGGACAGAGTGGGAGGCCTCAGTGCCCCTTTATGGAGGTGGGCAAAGCTCGGAGCAGTTCCTTTTCCGGACTATAACTCCCAGAATCCCCCTGAGGAATTCTGGGTTTTGGAGTCTTTCCAACGGGGCCGCGGGCGGGGATCGAACCGGCGTCAAACGCTTTACCGCCCAAGCGGAAAGAGAAAGCCGCGGCTGGAACCCGGGAGTCGGCCTCTATGTACCCGTCTATACAAAATTTCCTAAGTCTAGGCAAGGGCGCCCTCGCTCCGCCCCAGGGAGGGCGGGGCCAGCGGCGCGATGGCGTCAGACGCACGGGGCGGAAGGGGACACGTCGGCGTTGCTGCTGCCGGGGACCCGGATGTTCCAAGATGGCGGCCGCGGGGACAGGAACGGCCGGAGCGAGAGGGTCTGTTTCGAGGGGAAAGGGAGGCGTCGCCGCCGCCGCCGCTGGCCGGAGCTGAGGAAGGGGGGTCCCTCCGGGGACGGAGCAGGTGAGGAGAAAAACCCCCTTTGCTTGCAGGAGAGAGGAAGGAAGGCCCCGGAGGGGAGGGGGCTGGGCGGTCAGAGGAGGGGGAGAGGGCCCCCCCACCCTGGGATGCAAAGCTGGGCCCTTGGGGTGCTCTGGGGGGGCACAAAAGGACACCCACACCCCCCAGGCTGCACACACACACACACACCCCTCCCTCTGTGGAGAAGGTCTCCCTGGGAGGAAGAGCATCTCGAGTCTATTTTCACACACACAAAAAATAAGATTCCCCAACTTTGGAGCAGAAGGTGGGGTGGGAAGAAGGGGGGCCCCTCGCTTCCTGCTGGGGCTGAAAACACACCTTGCCTGCTTTTAAATATTGCCTTTAAAAGTTAAGAAGAGGAAGTATCTGCAGACAAAGCAGCCTCCCTGGATTAATCCATTCATCTATTTATAATAATAATAATTTATAGTCGTTGTAAGTATATACACAGTATACCCATACAACGGAATTCACGAAATGATCTGTCCGTCTGTCTCTCGTTTGTATTCCCTTCCCCCGCCTTTCTCCTTTAAAAAAAGGGACCCGAGGGGGGCGGCGGCTGACCTCCTTCAAAAGGCTGGTCCTTGAAAGCTAAAAACAGGTATAAGTAAGGATATGGGTTTTTTTAAAAAAAGGACGAAATGGGGGTTATGTTAAAAAGGGTAGATAAAATCAGTGCCAAAAGCACATTGAAATCAAATAGTTCTGGGGAAAGAGGAGGGTGGGATTACTCAAGAGAAAAAGGGGCTCGCCTGGAAGGGCTGAGCAGTCTGTGTCGACATGTTCTGCTCTGTATCTTTCGGTGAGATGGATTTCGTAGGTAGATAAACAAAAAGTGAGCTCTTGGCTCGGCTTTCGGGGCCAGACGGGTTGCCCTGTCCAGAGTCCATACTGCGACTCGTGGCCGCGCACGAGGCTGCTGGGCAGAGAGACCTGATGTGCTGAGAACCGGATCGCACCCCTTGAGGGTGGAGGGCAGGTGTCAGGATGAGGGCAGAGTTCAGGCTCCTTCGGCTTGCAAGATATTTGGGACTTTGACTTGCAGAACCTCCAAGTGCCTCCCGCTTTAATGTTGTTGTTTTTTAAAATAGATGTTATGAACATGCAGTTTAAATGTATTGCATTCTGTTGTGTTTTATTTCTTTTATGTCACTTATTACTATAAAAATGTTGTTATTGTTATTATTATTATTATAGGTGGGATATAAATAGAATAAATAAATATATTATTATTACTATTATAATAAAAAGCAACTGCAGCAACAACATACAGAGACCTGGCCATCGAAACATCTCGCTTGTAGATGAAACGTGCCTCAGGGGTCCCCATAGTCATCGGGGCTTTGGGAACCATATCAAGACATTTCACGTGGTATCATAAGCGGTTGCAGATCTCAGAGATCACGCCATCAGAGCTACAAAAAAACACAGCAATATTAGGAACAGCATACCTACCGCGTTGATATTTAACAGATAGTTAGGTTTTTGGTTAAAAATTTGTGTATGTTATGTAATACCAGTCCGTGCTTTTATAATTTTGATGGACTGTGGCTGGTATTTTTGAATAATAATAAAGTGTGGTGGTTATAATGGTTGCTGCGTGTTTCTGGATCGCAGACCTGAAGCTCATGAAACCGTTAGTGGACTTGAGGCGATGGTTGTGCCAGACGTGTTACATGGCACAGAAATGCGGTTGCAGTCTTGGACAACTTTAAATTTTATTTGAGCTTTGGCAGCTTTGCGTTGGGGTTGTTGAAACTGGTACTCGTCTCTTCCTTGTGAGCGGAGGCAGAGGATTTTAAGGAGTTTTACCTGTCTATCTGTCTGCCTCATTATCTTTTATATGCTCCCCTATTAGAGGGAGGCAGGGCTGTTCAAGCGTGAACGCTTTCCAGCCCTTCTGACGTGAGCAACTGATAACAGCCTTGCTTTTGTTCACTTTTTAAGGAAGCTGGACCAAGGCCCAAAGCCACGGGTGCTTTGAAATCCGGTGCTTCCCGACTTCCTCCACTCACATATTGCCACACAGCCAGGCAGAGGAGGAACCCACTCTGACTGGAATCAGTTTGGGTCTCGGGGGCTGGAATAGGCTTGGGTCCTTTTAAGGAGAAAGGCGGTGTAAACATATTTTTCAATAAATAGGCTGCTCTCTTTTTAAAAAGTCCTCCTGGGCAGCCTGCCACTCATTGCCTGAAGAGAAAGGTCTTGGCTTGCTTGTGGAAGGATATCCAAAATGGGGCCAGCCTGGTCTCCAGTGGCAGGCCGTTCCGCAGGCTCCGGGAGCAGTAAGGGCTGTGGCATTCTGGGCCTTCATTTCCTCCTCCAGGCCATCCCAGTCCTCATTCCGTTTAAGCTCTATGGAAAGCACCAGAGAGCATTGCAGTAACTTCCTCCTGGAAGCATGGCTGGCAGGAAACGACGGCCTAGAATGCCACAACCTGAGAGGAATAGGCCCCGTTCCAGGCGAGTGAAAGAGAGAGGCCTGGAAATCCCACATTCCTCCCTGGGTTATTTCTTGGAGAGTTCTGAGAACTGGAATCTGACAACGCAAATGGCACGTCCGTCGCTTGAGCTGCCATTTTTCAGGATCCCGCAGAGACGAGGGTCGTGCTGTACGAAAGGCATTGATCTTCGAGAACAGGAGATTTTATGTGAGAACACCATCGGTCAAGCGTACGTTGTGATATTTCTGGTTGTGTGTATTTCATGCCTCTGGCGGTGGCTCTAACCCTTTGCCCCTCCTCTCCCTTTTCCAGCGTGTTCGAAGACAGTCCTGTCCGTGTGCTGTGTTTGTGAGAGTCCTACACGAGAGCCGGCGAGACGCGGGCGATGCAGCCTCCACCGCAAGCCGTCCCTCCTGGGGCAGGGGGCCCCCCTCCGTTAGCAGCCTCACGGAATATGTACTGGCGCAGCAGCCCTTTGAGCAGGCGGGCGAATCCTCCAGCGGGCGCCAATCCGGGGCCGGTACGACCTGTGACAGACCCTTTTGCCTTTGGCGTGCAGCCGCCGCGAGGCTCCCCTTCAGGCAACGCAGCCAAAGGAGACCCGCTGGTCATGCCAGGTTTCCCCCCGGCAGCCTTTCCTCCACCCGCCGCGGGCCAGCCGCCTCCACCTCTCTCTGGGGACAACCCTCATGGACTGAACTCTCCTTGGCCTCCTCTGAGCTCTCAGCCTGGAGCCAGCAGCGCGTTTTCAAGGACGGCCGCATCATTTCCCGCCCACGTGGCAGACAGGGCGGAGGCACGTCCCGGAGCAGAGCAGGGCCTCGGCCACCCTGCGGGACCGTTTGACTCTTCGGGCGCACGCGAGAATTCGGTTCGCGGACACCAGGGTTCGGCTTCTCCGCCCGAGAGACCCCCGAGCGAGCAGAACGTCGGTTGGAGCCCCACCCACCCTAGTTCGGCCCCGTCGGCGTTGTCTTTCCACCCTGCTGTGCCCCAGTGGATGGGGCCCCACGGGAGCCTGCCCCCCCAGGGCCATTCATACTTGCCCTACCCAGAGCCGCCACCTCAGAACGCCGCTTACACTGTTCCTCCGACGACCGTTGGGATTCCCCAGGCCGGTCCTCCTCTGGATCCTTATCCGAATCCCGCGCAGCGTCCTGCGGCTGCCCAGGGCGCTGCAGAGGCGCCGTCGGGGGTCAGCGATGCCCCCAGCGTGTCGTCCGCCCAGGGGGCCCCTTGGCAGAACCCCGGAGGTTCCAGTCCTTGGCTGGGTCAGCTTCCTCAGGAACACTTCTATTTACAGCCCTTGGAAACGACCCCGACCCCCCTCCATCCCTCCTCTCAGGACAGCGCTCCTCCAGGCCAGCCTCGAGGCCGCTTGGAAGCCGCTGGCGAGCCTTGCCCGGCCGACGCCGCTCCGGGGACCGTATCGATGTTTTTCAAAGGGGAGGAGGCAGAGAACGAAGAGATCCTTTCGTCAGAGAGAAGAAATCAGGATGGCAAAGCGGATTTTGAGGCTTCCCAGCCGACGATGGGGCACACCTATTACCAGCCGCTGCACAGCAGTCACCAGATCCCGGCGGCTGCTTTTGCGTCCGCGCAGCCTTACGCCGCGCCAGCGACGGAGGCCCTGCAGAAGGAAGGCGAGGCCCCGCCTTCCTTCCGAACGGCGAACGTCCAGCCCGGCGACCCCACCGCCTTCTCCAGAGAAGGAAAAGCCGAAGCCGTTGGCCCTGGAGCCCCGCCGTACGAGAACGTGGAAAACCAGGAGTACGTTCAGAACCAGGAGGTTCTGCCGAGCGAGCCCCCGGCCCAGAGCCACCCCTCCCCGGGGGCCGCATCCGATTCGAGCCGGTACGCCTTGCTGTTGGGACCCTCCCTTCCAAAGAGCAGCCTGGGGAGGAGCAACATGGAAGGAGGCCCGAATCTAGAAGCCCCCGACGCCTTGCTCCTGCAGCCCGTCCGTCCCGACAGTGTCTCTTCCAGCTACAGCAACGTGAGCCACCGAAGCCTCTCCTGCGCCAGCCGACCCCAGGAGCCGCGCACGTTCATCCAGCAAGAAAGCGGGAAGCCCGAGGAGAAGGAGGAGGAGGGCTCCTCCTCCTCCACCCCCTTCTTTCAGCAGATCGACTCCTCGCCTTTAGGGGGGGACGCCGGGGAGCAGAACCCCAGCCGGAGTTACCGTGGCCTCCTCTCCCAGGCCCCCACCCCCAGCCCCCCCAAACCCATGGGGGTCTTTCAGACCAGCGCCAACAGTTCGTTCGAGCCGGTGCGGTCCCAGGGGTCGGGCCCCAAACCCCTCGAGACGGACCAGGCTAAGATGGTGGCCGAACTGAGGGAGAATCCCCCAAGCCAAAGGAGTAGCAAGAAGAGCCCCGCCGTGCCCGTGGCGTCCCCAGGGAATCTGGAACAGCCCCCGGACAACTTGGAAACTCTTCTCCCCTTCCAAGCTCAGCCTCTGATGGCCGCCGGTAACCCCGGTGGGGTGCCACCGCCCATCAGCAGCTCCGGCGCCACGGACAGCGTGCAGTCGTCCTCCGAGAGGAGACCCTCGGCCCGGGTCCAGGGAGCGGTGAAGAAATGCGAAAGCCCGGCCACGACCCTCTGGGCTCACAACGAGCTGCCCAATTTTGGCGGCAACGTCCTGCTCGCCCCGGCCGCCCCGGCCGTGTACGTCCCGGCCAAGCCGGTGGTCCAGGTGGTCCAGCCTCCGGAGAGCGGGCCGCCCGGAGAGCAGCGCTTCCCGCCGCGCTCCGTCCTGGCCCCTCAGGCCGGCCACGTCGCTTCGGAAAACCTGGAGAACCCCCCCAAAATGGGGGACGAGGAGGCCCTTCGCTCCCAGGCGAGTTCGGGTTACGCCAGCCTCCTCTCCTCCCCGCCGACCGAGGCCCTGCAGAACCCGCCGGTCGTGCTGGCCCAGCCGAACCAGAGTGGCGGCTTGAACCAGCTGGTGAATTTCTCTCTCGGGCATCAGCTGAGCAAGAACGAAAACAGCCCTTTAGCGAAAGACCCCGCAGGGAGCAAAAGGCCCCTGCCGAGCGGACTGAGTAGCAGCCATGCTTCGGGGGAAAGCGGGATCTTCCTGACGGGGCCGCCAGGATCCGTGCTTCACGCCTCGGCTGGCTTGTCAGATTCTAACTCTTTGCAGGAGCCTCTCGGCGCTCCTGAAATTGCCATGCATTCGCCTGCCGGTTTGCTCATCAGGCAGCCCACCTCTCACCTCCCGCTCAACCTGGCTGCAGAAAAGCAGACCTCTGTTCCTTCAGAAGCAGGACTGCCTCCTGAATTTGGGAGCAAGCCCGGGACGGGTATGGGCGCCCCTGGTAACCCGAGGGTGGCGCTGGGGCCTGGAGGGCCGGCCGGAGTGGCTAATAACAGCCACCCCAGTCGCTCTAAGAACAGTCTGACCAGCCAAGAGTTTTCCCAACCGGTGGATTATACGGTCGCCAAGAGTGTGGAGCAGAGCGGCGCGGAGAGCGGGTCTCAGGGCCACAATCCGTTGCTGGCTAGTAGCCAGTCCATGCCTCAGCCACCTGGCCTGATCGGCCAAGCGGAGCCAGACGCTCATCAGAAGCGTTTCTACCAACAGGTCACGAAAGACGCGCAGCCGCCAGCGCCGTCCAACAGGGCCCTCCCTCTGCAGAGGAAGCCGACGCCGGCCGCGTCAGCCTCCCAGGGGGCGGACCCTCCCTTGAACCCCCAGGTGCCTCCTGGGGGCAGCTCAGCCCCAGCACTGGGACACAGACCTGGCCCCGCCGGCCCCCCAGAAGGGAGCTCAGTGCTGCCCCCGGCAAATCCTGCTCGGGCTCCCCCTGATCCTCAGCAGGGTTCATTGGGCCAGCCTCCGCCTGCTTCCACTCCGTCCGGTCTGCCTTCCACCTCGGTAGCGGGCGGCCCGAGTCATCCGCCGCAGCCCCCTTCGCAGCCGGATCAGCAGCAGCCCCCACCTCCCCAGACCCCCCAGAACGCCTTCGCAGGGCCACCGAACCCGTATTACTACTACAGGCACCCTTACGACGCCTATCCCGCTGGCTATCCTCCACCCTATCCTCCAGTGGATCCTCGAACGGCCCATCTTTATTACCAGGTAGGCCTTCCTCCTTTCCCCCCTCCTTCATTGAAAGAGCGGGGATTCTCTCTAGCAGAGGGGCGGGAGAAGGCGGGCAGTTGGCCTGTATCCTAGGAATCCTGGACTGGGCGGGCGGGGAAGACCCTGGGGTTTGGGAAGGCCGAGGTTTCTCTCCCTTGCTGCTGAGCCCGTCTCGCCTCTAGGAGGACGTGTACAACCGTTACGACCCTTCCTACCGGCCGTACGGCAGCACCGCAGCCTACGGGGACCCTGGCAGTTACCAGTACGTGGAACCCGAGCGCCCCAGTTCCAGAGCCAGCCACACCTCCGACCGACCCCCATCCAGGTGAGCAACTCTCCGGGGAGGGGGTCGTCTCTGCAAGGCGGCAGGAGTTGCTCTGACAAGGCCCTTTGAGCCACCCCTGGTCCCCCAGAGCGTCTTCGAATCACTTCCCGAAGTGCAAGGCGCTCTTCCGGCTAGTCACCTAGAATTTGTGTTGGAAATCCTTCGCGGCAGGGCTGCGATGCTGGGCGTCCCCTTTCCGTGATGGGTTTGCCGGCGTCTTCAAAACAAAACAAAGCCCTGCCATTTCTCCTTTTTCCAGACCGGGGTATCCTGAGGATTATTATAACGCCAAAAGCGGATGGAGCGACTACTATGCTGATTATTATGCCACTGCCTACGATTACGGAGGTATGGCCCGCTCTGAGGTCTTCCGCCGAACCCGTGTTTGGAATTGCTGATCAGTCTAATAATTGACCACACGAAATATTTGTCTCACTCCCCTTTCGGTAGATGCAGACAGATTGAACGAGCTCTTTGGAGTTCGTAGATCTGGTTTTTCATTGCCGTAGGAGATCATTACAGTAGGATTTGGTGCCTCGGCTTGGTAGACAGGATTCAGCCTAAACGCTGGCTTCCTGTAGCCCTTAATGATGCGTCCTGCACTCTGGGACGATCTAGGACAGAACCTGCCCCTCCTCTGTAGGACCACCTTTCAAGTCTTTGAAAAGGGCTCTCCTCTCTCTCCCCGAGTCTTCTTTTCTCAAGGCTAAGCCTGCCCAGTTCTTTCCGTCGTTCCTCCTCCGAGGGCTTGGTTTCCAGTCTTCTGTGTTTACTGGGCCACTTCAAGAGAGCCAGGAACCCTTTCATGGGATTGAAGCTATAGAATTATGGCTGATAGTCTGTACCTGATGGAGAAGCAGGTGGTTTGCCATATCCCTGCGTGCAGAGTTTTTAGGCTGACCACTGCTGCTTCCCCCCCCTTCTTATTTCAAGACCGCTATCCGTCAGCGTATGATCCCCGGTATCGGGACCTCAGAGCGTACGACCAGCACTACTGGTATGACACGGAGCAGCGTTCGTACCCAAAGAGGGAGGCGTATCCCTACGGAAACAGGTCCGTGAACATTGGAGAGTTTAAAGGATGCAAACTGTTTTGACAGCTTGGGTTTAGTAATCGTTCTTGAAGCATGGGATTCCCCGGGAGGGAGGTATTCAATGGGCCGAGGGATTCACTGGCCCTTTCCAGATGTAGAAGCCTTCCTAAAACAGTAGAAATCAAAAGCTGGAAAGAAAACGTTTGCATTGCCGTTTTCTACACGGTGCAACCTTCCACGCATTTCTTTGCTCATTTTAAAAAAGCAAGGACAAGGAAGAGGCTTAACTTATTGAAAAGATGGAAGACGGTGATCTTCCACGCATTTCTTTGCTCATTTTAAAAGCAAGCACAAGGAACAGGCTTAACTTATTGAACAGATGGAAGACGGTGATATTGATTGAAATCCTGTTACTTTAACTTCTGCCGTGTAAGGCTGATGATGTCAGTATCCAGGGTTTATTTTTATTTTTATTTTTGGTGGGTTTTTGGAAAATTAAAACTTCCTGATTCTCGGCTACCGGGATAGCTTTGGTTTTGAAGGCTGTGTGAAATCTGGCATGTTGAGTCGTAGCTGCGCCTTGGGTGCACAAGCAAAAAAAATGGAAGCGCGGTGAAAGTTTGAGGTTCCATTACAGCTGACAATGTCTTGTGGGGTTTCTTTTGCCCACCGTCCAGCCATGACCGGTACGAAGATCACTGGCGATACGACCCTCGCTTTGCGGGCAGCTTTGACGAAGACCTGGAGCCTCGCCGGGACCCTTATGGGGATGAGTTTGACCGGCGCAGCGTCCACAGCGAGCACTCAGGCCACAGCCTCCACAGCTCCCGGAGCGTCCACAGCCGGCAGAGCAGCTTCAGCTCCCGGTCTCAGCAGGTAACACTGCCTCGGAGAGTCTTCCCCCCCCCCTCGGTGGCCGGGGGCGATGGGCCTGGGGGTGTCTAGGCGCTGCTGCAGAGACGAACAGGTGGAACACCTGTGGCACACCGTCAGGTTCTGCAGCCATTCATGTGTTACGCGCTTAGGGCCAGAAAAAACCTTCTGAAAGACCCATCACAAAATACAGGGGTGCCCCAGACAAAAAATGATCCCTGTAAAACTGGACCTCGGATCAGCACCGAACTCGGCACAGATGTAGCAGAAAGGGGCACCCTGCTCTGTGCCAAATTGGGGGATGTTTCGGCAAAGGGTTTTTGAGTTGTGATTTTCTGTCACACAGCAGTGGTGTCTACTCTTGGGCCCGTTCGCCTGGTGAGCAGCACGAGGGTGTGACATCCGGCGCCTTTCTTTCCTTTTTCTCTTTCGTTTGCTTCTGTTCTGAGGTGACCGTGGCTGAACTGACCCCCAAGTTGCCACAGACAGCTGTCCTTCACCCCAAGTTCACCGTTCAAGTTCTGCGTGTGCCGTCTTTTCTGCTGCTGCTACTCTTTGATTTGTTACGACAAATGTCTGTGTGTGTGTGTGTGTGTGTGTTCCAGAGCCAGTTGTATAGAAGCAATCATGACCTGACAGCTCCCACCTACGACGGCGAACACCCAGCCGCCTCGCTCCACGCAGAGTATTACCCTCACTATATGAACCCACCATCGTTGGCTGATTATAACCATTCGGCCCAAACAGCTTGGTCCACTATGGAACAAGGTACTGCCGAAAATGGGGCTGTGTCAGGTTTTTTTTGGGGGGGGGAGGGGAATTTGAGAGCAAAGAGTCTTCTTTCAAAAGTTACATACAGTAGGATCGTAGGATCGGGGGGGAGGGAAATCCAAGGTTCCCCCCTCCCCAGCAGATGCCGAAAAAAGCAGAAATGTGGGGTGCTGTCCATTGCGTGGTCTCTCTCTCGGTGGTTAACGTGTCCCTCTCTTGGCTTCCCTGCCACAGTCCCCTCCAGGCCGCTGACCCCGGAGAAGTTCTCGGTGCCCCACATCTGTGCAAGGTTTGGTCCTGGGGGCTACCTGGTCAAGGCGCTTCCCAACCTCCCCTCGGAGGGACAGCCGGCTTTGGTTGAGATCCATAGCATGGAGGTAAGTGAGGAGAAGGACACACACACCCCGGGGCCCGTCCCCCATCCCACCCTTCCTGCTACCGCAACCGCCACACTGTCTGTGTGGGTGAGAGTAAACGTCAAGAGCTTTGAGTGTTGCGACAGAGAATGAATGGGCAGCAGCTCCAAAGGCCCTTGCTTTAGGAATAAGAGTCGGTGCAGATCAAGGTGTGATTCTCCCTTTTGGCTTTCCCCCGTAGATGATCATGCAGCATTCGCTGGAGCAGGAGGAGATGAGAGCCTTCCCCGGCCCTCTTACCAAGTAGGTTTTCCAGGGTCACAATTTTGGCATTATTGATGCTTGTTCGTGCCGTCTTAAACACATGTCTCCTGGGCTCTTGTCTGCTTTCCGTTCTGTGCCAGCCTCGCACCTTGCCTCTTCGCCACCTTGCAGCGGTAAAAGAAGGGAGGAACGTGGCCACCATTTCTGACTACATTAGTTGGGCTGGGTTTACAGGGGTGCAACGTTGTCTTGCTTTTCCTACATGTTTTTCCACGGTGACATGTAGTACTTCACGGCTGTGATGGAGTAAAGCATGAAATACCGAAGCTCCGGAAGGGAAGCGGGCGAACCCTGTCCCTTGAAGGAGCAACCCAGCTTTCTCAGCACATGGCCAAAAAACGTTTGCCTGCCCCTCGGTGGTCTTGCGCCCTGCCTGCCCCTCGCAGGCACGCCAGCCAAGGGCTTGCACACTCATTCCTGTCTCATTGTGACTCCCTCCCCCCTTTTTTTTTGGTAGAGACGACACCCACAAAGTGGATGTCATCAATTTTGCCCAGAAGAGAGCCACGCGGTGCTTTCAGGACGAAACTCTGCTCGACAAGGATTCTGCTCGGCTCCTGTGGGACTTTGTGGTTCTACTCTGCCGGCAAAATGGGGTAAGTTGGTGTCCAGGGTCTTCCGCTCAGCCTCCAGCCTTTGCAAGGGCCCTTCTGGTCTCCAACGGACCAGTTCTTCCAGCTCCAGTTCTTTCCCCAGGCCAGCTTATGAGGTACGGCATCCCAGACCAATCCTCTTTTTTCTTTTTTTTAATGCGTGAATGTTTGTTTTGTTTCCAGACTGTGGTCGGGACGGATCTGGCCGAGCTCCTGCTCCGAGATCATAAAACGGTCTGGCTCCCCGGGAAGTCGCCCAACGAAGCCAATTTGATCGATTTCACCAACGAGGCTCTGGAGCAGGCGGAGGAAGAATCTGGAGAAGCTCAGCTGTCTTTCCTGACCGACAGCCTCATCACCACCATTGACAGCCTCGAGAGGGAGACGGAGCGGTTCCGGGAGCTTCTGCTCTACGGCCGCAAGAAGGTGAGCGCTGGGGCTGGCTTTCTGGCGTCGCACGCTCGGATCGCGGCCCAGAAGGGAGGCAGGTCATCTTCGTCAAAGGCCCCTCAGGAGGGATTCATTCCCGTCTTCCCGGTTTCCACAGGATGCTCTGGAGTCGGCCATGAAGCACGGCCTCTGGGGCCATGCCTTGTTGCTGGCCAGTAAGATGGACAACCGGACTCACGCCAGAGTCATGACCAGGTAAGACCTCTCGGTGCGTCTTTCTTCAACACATTCCTAATTGACCTATACACAGGAGGACTCCCTTATCCATGGGCTCAATACCCACTGATTCACTCATCCACAGTCTGAAAATATTAAAAGGAAAAATCCCAGAAATTTATATTTCTAAAGAGATCATCACCAGAACCAGTCACTAGAGGGAGCCAGAGACCATGCTGTGTATAGTATTTGCTACATTCCTGTGATGGCATTACCAGAACTCGGCACAAGAGGGAGCCAGAGACCATGCTATGCATAGTATTTACTATTGTAGTAGCATTTGCTATAATCTGCGTTTTTCAGCATCTGCAGTGGGGGGGCTTGGAACTGATCCCCCACAGATATAGGGGTCTTGCTGTACAAAACCGCCTACCTGTATTTTATTTATCTTGTGCATCTTGTCCCTTGAAAGTCTGTAAACGTTTCTGTCTGTAGCGAGGATGCTACTGAGTTCTTCCTGATCGGGACAGGTTCCTTCTTGACCTTCAGGACCATTCTGTCTGTGTTTTTTTTCCCCCTTCAGATTTGCCAACAGCCTCCCAATCAACGATCCCTTGCAGACGGTTTACCAGCTGATGTCGGGGAGAATGCCAGCAGCTTCCACGGTGAGTCCCGAGGAGCAGCGGCCATCAGAGGCATCCTGTGTTGGCTCGGATTAGGGGGTCCCTTTTTTGTGGGGTACCCAAGATGGAATGTCTTCTGCGGCCAGTCCACAGGGCAAGGGGTGATTCGTGTCCTCCAGCGCCCCTAAACTTTCTGTTTCTCACTCCTTTTGATTCTTCCCCCCTTTTAACAATACTGGCTTTTCTCTTTATTTTTTCTGGTGCTTTAAAAAATTGTAACATTTGTTGGGTTTCAATAATATAACAAGAAATAAACAAAACATAACTAACAGATCCACCCCAAATAATAAGAAAGTAATAAGAAAAAAAAAGCACAACACAATTACAACAGATGTCTTGGAATGATTTACCTGATTTTCTAATGATTTATTTTACCTATTGTATTGCCCCATTCCTCTCCAAAAATACATCGATTCTTTAAAGTCGTTAATATTCTATACTCCTGTTCTTTATCTTAATTTTGCAAGCTAATTTATCATTAATAGCCACGTGCCATGCGTCTTTATGCCATTCTTCCGTATTAAGCCGTTTCTTATTTTTCCAATTCTTTGTGAAAATTCACCTTGTTATGGTTGCCCTAAGGATTCGCCCTTTTTTCTTCCTGTTTCAATTGATCGTTATTAAACATATTCGACCGGGCTGTCACGGGAGATGTTTTTTAAGTTCTTCTCCCCTCCAAGATTTCTGTTTTCTCCTTCTTCCTGTAGTGCTGCGGAGACGAGAAGTGGGGCGACTGGCGACCCCACCTCGCGATGGTCTTGTCCAACTTGACGAACAACATGGATGTGGAGTCGAGGACGATCGTCACCATGGGCGACACGCTTGGTAACCCACCGAGGCCACTCCGGGAGGGGGGTGGCGGCCTTCCTTTGGGAAAGGGTCCCCTTCTGCCTCTCCCTCCCACCTTGGATTTATTCAAAGGGCCTCGTTCGTTGACTGCAGGGATGTAGGCGACGTGCGCCCTGGTTCCTCAAAAGGCTCCTGCTCTTTTGAAGTGGGAGTGGATTTTCAGGGCAGCAAATAAGGAATCCCAGTCGGGCAGCGTGCCTGGAAGACGCTTGAGAGGCGATGCCCAGAATGCCGTTTCATGGGACAGGTGGATTGCATTCCCCCTACAGGCGGGAGCTTTAAAGAGGCAGACATTTTATTTTCGGGTCTCCCCCATTCCTTGTTTTTCGGGGGGTTTCTTACAGCTTCAAAAGGTCTCCTGGATGCTGCTCACTTCTGCTACTTGATGGCTCAGGTTGGGTTCGGCGTGTACACAAAGAAAACCGCCAAATTGGTGCTGATTGGTTCCAACCACAGGTGAGGGGAGACGGATTGCCTGCGAGTATTCTCTCCGTGTATTACCAGACCCAGCCACTAGAGGGAGCCAGAGATCATGCAGTCTACACACAGCAGGGTCTCTGCCTCCCTCTAGTGGCTAGTTCTGGTAAATACATTGTGAACATAACATATTTCTGGGGGTGGGGTTATGTTTAATATTTTCACACTGCAGATAAGTGAAACCGTACATACTGATCCTGCGGATATATGGGTCCTACTGTAATAATAAAACTTGCTGGGGAGCTATCTTGAAAAATGTAGGCTAGGATTTTGTCTAATCCTACCTTTCTCCCCTCTACGTAGCACATCACCCGCATCAAAATTGCCCCCACATAATGGATACCGCTGACCAAGTTTGCAAAAATTAAGATGTGTCGCTCTGGCGGCACGTTCCCCTTCTCTTTCCTTAGCTTGCCCTTTTTGAAGTTTGCCACCAACGAAGCCATTCGGAGGACCGAAGCCTACGAATACGCACAGTCGCTGGGGACTCAGCCATGCTGTCTGCCCAATTTCCAGGTTCGGGTCTCCCTCTTCTTACTTCGCTCGGGCCTTTTTGAACCGCTCTGGGCTCGCGGTCCATTTCCGAGGGCCGTTGCCCTCGAACGGGCTTCAGGGGTGCAACACAACCCGAGGTTTCTGGCTGCATTTGGGAGCCGTGTGCTTGAATTTGTAGCTCAACTCCCTTGGTTTAGGTAGGAAAGAGGGAACAGTGGTTTTCTCCAACTCCGTGGTTCTGTGATTCTAGGGCTCTGCTGTGACCCGTGAGCAACATTTAGCCCGTTGCAGGGCTGCAGCTTTTATGGGGTGATGCTCAAAAACCACCACCCCCAGCTTTGAATCTTCCTGAATCCTGCAGGTTTTCAAGTTCATCTATGCCTGTCGACTCGCCGAGATGGGGCTCGCAGCCCAGGCGTTTCATTACTGTGAAGTGATTTCCAAAGCCATCCTCAAAAATCCCTATTATTATTCCCCCGTGCTAATCGGCCAGGTGATCCAGGTAGGGCACGTGCTCAAATGTTCGCTGGGCTCCTTAAACTTTTCTTCAGCTGTTGAGGACAGCTGATTTACTACCACCACCACCTTCAGTGTCGGGACTTGTGGGGCTTTCTCAGCCGATACCACCCACTGTGCTCCCCCTTTATAAGGGCCCAAGGCTGAATCCGGTTCTGAGCATCAGCAGAATTGCTGTATGACTGGAACGTTGTATAACTCGGCCCTCGTGTAATCCCAATGACTCATTGGTTTAAAAGCCCGTTCGAATTACCTATTCTTCTCCGTCTGTTCAACAGGAACAGTTGATGAGGGTTAGCATAACAGTTCTGGAACCTTCTGTGTCTTTCTTTTCTCTTACCACTCCCTTCTGTTCACAGGTTTCCGCTCAGTTACGGCTCTTTGACCCTCAGATAAAAGAGAAACCAGAGCAGGAATTATTTATTGAGCCTGACTGGTTAGTACAGCTTCGACACTTAGATGGACAGATCCAGGTGAGTGTGCCACACGCTTCAGCCACCGACCGTGCTCATTTTGTTTGTTGAGGGCTCCCGTCTCCTTGGGGGTTTAGTGCCAAGGCACCCTCTGTGGATGCTGAAAACCGCAGATAATAACAAACGCTATACATATGTAAAGAAAATAATCCAGATTTTTTTAAAAAATATCCTTGGTTTCATTTAGCTGTGTTTTGAAAATATTTAAAATATTAAAAGAAAAGAAGTAGAAATACTGTACATACTTTCGCAGTGTATTTACCAAAACCGGCCACTAGAGAGAGCTGGAGATCACACTATGTATCCCTGTTCTTGGAATCCACAGCATGGTCTCTAGCTCCTTCTAGTGGCCAGTTTTGGTAAATACATTGTGAAAATACATATTTCTGGGTGTGTGGGTTTTTTTTTCCTTCCTTTTCCTGTGCTATAAATAGTCTTTGCTATCATCTGCAGTTTTTGCCGTTGGTCGGAGGGAGGTTTGGAACTGCATCTGTTACTGATCTGGGCCCCTTTCCATTTTGCGGCCTGGACGGAGGGTTCGAGGTTTTGCCGGGGTGATCAGAAGTGACAACGTCTAAGGAATTCTTGAGGAATTCATCTGCCCTTTTTCTCACGGCAGGAGGGGTCTCTGGCTTACGCACCAGGGAGGTCTACGCCCCAGCAGTACGCCTGCAGCACGCCGAGCTCGGAGCTGGACCGTGTGAGCCAAAGTGAGGGAATGGGAAGCGGCCAGGAGGCGACCGCGGGCTCCGAGAACCCTCTCCTGGCCTCTTTGCTGCCTGGCGTGACCCATGCCATGCAGGGGGTCCGCCTGATGCCTTCAGGTGGGTGTCCCGCCCGGCGTCCTTGGGGAGAGCATCGGGGCAGGGAGAAGCAAGTCTCGTCCACCGAGCCTGTTTTTCCCGAGTTGCTTGTCCCGCCCGGCGTCCTTGGGGAGAGCATTGGGGCAGGGAGAAGCAAGTCTCGGCCACCGAGCCCGTTTTTCCCGAGTTGCTGCTGGGGAGAGAGAGAGAGAGAGAGAGGTTTATTTATTTTCTATTAAGGGCTGTATGGCATCTTGTTTGTTTGCTTCCTCCTCTCTGTAGCTCCTCCAATCATCCTGGACGGTTCCTCGTCGGCAGCGGCTGCCTCTTCCCAACCAGAGGCCTCGTCCAACGCCGTTCCTTTCTACCCGGCGGCGCCTGCTGGCGTAGGACCGGTCCCCGGCTTCCCAGGCCCCGTCTACCCTGGGGGGTCAGTCCCACCGGTGGGCCCGCCACCCCCTCTGGCCTTCGGCGACCTTCAGCCCCAGGAGTCAGGGGTCAGCCAGGAAGCAGGTGTGCTATAGGGAGGCAGGCGGGTGGCAGCAGAGGGGTTGGGTGGCTTTCCTCGGCGGGGCCGAGCCCAGGAAAGCCGTTGGGGAGGGGGGGGGACCGCCGGCGGGCCCGCCACCCCCTCTGGCCTTTGGCGACCTTCAGCCCCCGGAGCCAGGGGTCAGCCAGGAAGCAGGTGTGTTATAGGGAGGCAGGCGGGCGGCAGCAGTGGGGTTGGGTGGCTTTCCTTGGCGTGGCCAAGCCCAGGAGAGCCGTTGGGGAGGGGGGGGCCCTGAAGGTCCTCCCGCCTACCTGCCCAGGTTTGATCTCTTGGCCTGAATCCTGTTGTTCGCTTTTCTGTAAGCTTTGCGGGTTGGTGAGGTGCTGGAACACATCTTGGTTGCAGGCCTGGCTGGGGGGACTGGGCAGCTTTCTGTGAGTTTCACAATGACTTCTCCGTTGGTGCCGTTCATCTGCGGGCTTCCTGCAGAGTCGACTCTCCCTGTCCCCGCCCCCCCCGGTGAGAAGGCCGGGGGGGGCGTTTTCTCATGCTCTCCTCCTTCTCTGTCTCGGCAGCACAAGGGGCCCCTCCAGAGTCTCACGTTTGGAGGCCCGAGCCCAGAGAGGAGGACTTCTACGCCAAGATGGCAAGCATGGTGACGTCCCGTCTTCTTTTGCCCCTAGAGGCGCGGAGGGTGGCCAAATTTGGCCCCGGGGGGGGCTGCAAGCCTGTTTGAAGGCTCCCTTCTCTCGCCCCCTCCTTCCCTCTGCCGGGAATCAGGCCCTTTGGCTCTGCTGGGGAGTAACAATCTCCTTCACCTGCACATGACCAAGCGGGAGAGCTCCCTGGGAACCGGCCCAGCCTGCTGCGGAAAAGGCGCCGTGCGGGTCTCGCCCCATCCTGCTCTCGAGACGTCGGCTCTCCCGCTTCGCTCATACGCTGGCTTTCTGTCCGTCTCTCCAGGGTTCGGGCCGACGATCCAGATCTACCTCCCAGTCTTCAGCCCACATGGTACGACTCGGTCTCATCCGCTCTCTTCTTTTACCGCACGACTCTCCGATCCGTGGGATCAGTATCCACTGATTCACTTATCTGCTTCCTTGAAAATATTAAATTAAAAAACAAACAAACCTAGAAATACATATTGAAGTCTTATTTCCAGAGTGGATTTACCAGAACTTGGCTGTAGAGGGAGCCAGAGACCAGGCAATGTATCCCATTCCATACTTCCCTGTTTTTCGGCATCCCGATCCGGGGGGCTTTGAACTGATCCCCCCGCGGATACCATGGTTCCTATTGTCGCTTTCCCCCTCTTTTGTCCATCGCTTCCTGTCTCCCCGTCCTGCCCTGTCCTGCGTCGCCGGAGCCCGTCGTCCCTCAAGAGTGAATCGGGTTGCGCTTGTGCTTCTCCCAACAGGGCTTCGGCCAGCGGTCGCGAACCACCTCGGAGTCCTCGGTGCACTCCGTGGGACGCGAGAGGCAGAACTCGGCCGCCAAGCAGCCTTCTCCGCCTCCGCCCTCCATTCCGGAAGGGAAGGAATCCAAAAAAGAGTCCCGGAAGGAACCGGCGCCACGGAAAGTAGGTCGGATCTGGCCGCCCTTCAGCTGAAGCACGGCCTTGCAAACCCTCAAGGACCGGCATCCGAGGGATGGGAGGGGGAGAAATAAAAACTACCCAAGTCTTGTTTTTCTTCTTTTTTCAGAGCGGTGCGACGTGGTTCGGCTGGCTGATGGGGAAAGGCAGGAACGAGGCTCACCTCCCAGACGATAAGAACAAATCCGTAAGTGGTTCCCCCCCCCTTTTTTGGCACCGTTTCTTCGTTGCCAGGGGCCTGAGCGGCCACACTCTGTTCTCGCCAGCTGCCCCCCACCCACCCCGAGGTTGAACCCAGATTTCAAACACCGCCGAGGGTCAGAATGAACCTCTGCTTGTTAAAAAGAAAGAAAGAGAAAAGCCGTAAATTTCACTCCGCCCTTGGGCTTGGCCGCCCTCTGCATCCCCGTCTTCTTCATAGCTGGGTCCTTTTGTAACCCGAAACGGGTGTCTCTTTCCAGATTGTTTGGGATGAGAAGAAACAGCGATGGGTCAACCTGGATGAGCCAGAAGAAGAGGTCAGTGGCCTATCGAGCTGGTCCTTTTCCTTTCCTGCGGTCAAGCAATAAAACCGTACGGCAGAACCCCCTTGATCCACCGGATCAGTTTCTGCTGGTTCACTTATTCACAGTCTAAAAATATTAAAATAAAAATCCAGCCGAATATATGTTTTTTAACGATGAACTTCCCAAGACTGGCCACGAGAAGGAGCCAGGGACGGTGCTATGGATAGCGTTTGCTATAATCAGGGTTTCTCAGCCTCCTCGGTGAGGGTGGGAAGCTTGGCATCGATTTCCTCGTGGATACGGCAGTCCTACTGTAGTTGAACTAAAGGATTCTCAAACACCGCGGTGTGAGCCTTTTCACACCTCCCTTCCTAAGACCCGGCGAAAAGCTGTCTTTCCCCCTTTTGCCTCTGAACCCTTGCTGGTCTCGCTCCTCCTGTCTCCTTTTTCTGAAGCTCTTCCACAGAGCAGAGGCGGGTGGTGGAGGGGGAGGGAGTAGAGGGATCACGGCTATCCCTGCCAGGACGTTCCTCTCCAGGTAGCCGTAGCTGGGCTTCCGGAGAAAGGCTAGAGACCCGACCCCCAACCCGGCCTTCTTCCTTTCCAGACCAAGCCACCGCCACCGCCTCCCTCGGGCTTCCCTCAAGTTCCCCAGGCAGCACCTTCTGGTCCGGGAGGCCCCCCGAACTCTTCCGTCAACATGTTCTCTCGGAGAGCAGGTATCCACACCGTTTTGAGAGGCCCTCGAAGCCTCTTGCGGGGGGGGGGGGCGGAATAACTTGGCTCAGCAATACGACAAGTGAGAAGGATCTGGGACTGGTTTTCGCTCCAAAGCTGGGAGAGCAGCCCGCAGTGCGACGTGGCTGCTCAAAAGCCCAAGGCGATTTGGGGGTGCAAGAAGTACAGTCTGAAAACGCCCTCAGTCCCGCTAGTCCCTTTCTGTTCTGGTGAGGCCTCCTCTCGAGTCCTGTGTCCAGTTCTGGACATTTGCACTTTAAGAAGGATGATGACAAAACTGGAGCAGGTTCAGAGGAGGACCACCAGGAGGATCAAGAAATGATCAACCCTTGGGATTCCTGCCCTGAGCAAGGGGTTGGACCTGATGGCCTTACAGGGTCCCTTCCGACTCCACGATTCTAGGATTCAGTGGTTCTGTTCCGACGTTGGATTCCAAGCTTTGTGGTTTCCCTGTGGCTGGCCAGGCTTCTCGCCAGAGGCCCTGGGCCGGAAGCATGGCTGCCCCGTGCCAGCGTCCGGCTGTCTTCCCTTCTGTCCTTTGAGCCCCCCCCTCCTGAGAGCTTGAGGGGCCCGGCTGGGTGGGGTGTGCTTTGACATCTGGACTGTGGCCCTGGAGCGGCTCGTCCTTCCCTGGTGCTCAGCACCATGCGGGTCAGAAGCCAGCGCCCCAGCCGGACCCTCCTGTCTGCTGCTCGTCTCTTTCCAGCCGGAAGCAAAGCCCGATACGTCGACATCCTGAATCCAAGCAGGGCCAAATCTCCTGGGGCTGCCCCGGCGCCCTCCGAGCTCTTTGCCCCTCTGGCACCGATGCCCATCCCGGCGAACCTGTTTGTACCAAATCCAGGTGAGTCGAGCAGGAGGAGGAGGAGGTGAGATAGAAAAGTAGGGAAGGGTCGTCATTTCTAAGTAATTACCACTGTGGGATTTTTTTCTTTCTTGAATGGGGAATCATGGGATTTGTGGTCCACGGAATCCAGAAACCCCACCCCTCCCGGTGAAGTTGCGCCACAACCCGAGGAGTAAGGTAGTCTGCCTGGGTCTTTAAGAGGTCTTCCTCTTAGGAAAAGGTGCAATGCCAGCGTGGCCGAATGTGTGAGGTTTCTTTTCCCGTGGCAGGAGAGCCGCAGCCTCTGGAGGGCAGCGTGGCGGAAGAGCAGGGGCCGCCGGGAAGCGAACCGGACCCGGACGTGGCCGCAGAACGGCCGGTAAGCTGGAGCGAGCTGTGCTTCTTCCTCACAGAGGTGGGAAAGGCCGAAGAGCCTTGCCTGCAAACGGTCGCAGCTCCATGTCCGCCGAACAGCGATAACGTTGGATGGAAAGGCTTTGCTTGTTTTTTATTAAAATGCTGAGTTGTCAGTGGCGAGGAGGGAGTGGATGTCGGCAGGGAAAAGGATGGGAGAAAAGGATGGATGTGGTGCACGTACAGTAGGAGCAAAATATCCACGGGTTGTCAATTCCCAGCCCTCCTGTGGATGCTGGAAAACACAGAAGTCTCGGAACGCTATCCATTGCGTAGTCTCTGTCTCCCTTTAGTGGCCCATTCTGGTCAATACGCCCTGAAAATACTACCATAGTATTCCCACCATAGAGTGTTTTTTAATCTAATGGAAATTGTAACGCTTGGCCTCCCACACATCAAAAAAAGAAACACCATTCTCTCATTTCAATGCCCCGTTTGATGCTTTGTTTTAATTGCTTCCTTGAATCTTTGGTCCTGCTTGGTGGTTTTTATCTCCTGTCTAACTGCTACTTTGCTCCTTTTCTTCAGTACTTAAATTCCGCCGCCTTTCCGCCTGGCCCTGAGCTCCCTCCATCCCAACCGGAGGGCTCTCGCTCTGGAGAGGTAGGTCTCCCTTGCCGGGGCCACGGTGCTCAGGACCGCCGGTTGAATATCCCAAAGGCGGGTACCGGAAAACTCGCTGTCCTAAACGGCCGGGAGGCAGGCGGTGGGGAGTTGAGGGTTTCTCCCAAATCAGAACCGAATGCATACATTTAATGGATAGGGTGGAGCGTTACTAGAGGTACTTTTATTATTTTGCAGCCACAAGACTTACCATGTAAATGCGCCTTTGTGCGCGCCTTAACGGATCCTTCCTAATCATACCAAATGCAGTAGGACCCCGTATCCACGGGATCAGTGCCCACAGTTTCACTTACCTGCGGTCTGAAAATATTAAAAATATTGGGGGGGAAATAACCTAGAAATACATATATTTCAGAATGCACTTACCAGAACTGACCACTAGAGGGATCCAGAGACCACGCTAGGTGTTCTTGTTGGAATACATAGCATAGTCTCTGGCTCCTTCTAGTGGCCGGTTTTGATAATACATGATGAAAATAGTGTTTTTTCTGGGGTTTTTCTTTTTCTTTTACCACGCTATGTAAAGCATTTGCTATTACCTGCAGTTTTCAGTATCCTCAGGGGGGGCTTGATCAACCAATCTGCCAGGGATACGGGGGCCCAATTGTAATTTTTGTTTTTTGATTAGCATGGAGGGGGCGTGTTGCTCTCTGCATGAATTTGATTTATCATGTTAAACTCCATGAAACTACTAAACTCTTACAAATTGTATGCAGGCGTTGCCTGTAGCTGCATCGTAGGTGTTTATAACTTGCATTGTGTAATTCATACCATTTAACCCTCGACGCTGGAAAGCACCTTTTTTCTTTTCCTTTTTAAAGTGAAATAGGGTAACTGAGAGCTTGAACCAGCGGCCTGCATGACGCCTTTTGATTCCTTTTTTTTTGTCTGTGTTTTTTGTTTGTTTGTTTTGCTGTTTTGTAGCTTTCGCGCTCTAGCTCAATGAGTTCATTATCACGTGAAGTCAGCCAGCATTTTAATCAGGTACATTTGGCTGGCTGTTCTCGCTCACCAGTGGCTGCCCTCCTCTTACTCGTCTTCCTTATTTTAGTTTCCGTTTCTTCATTCGTTTGTCGTCCTCACTTCACCTTTTCTCCCACTCTCATTTTTGTGGAGCTAACTTGACACACTGGAAGATGAAGTTTTCCTTCTGGCCTTCAGAGAAAGGCATTTAAGGGAGCTTTTCTTCTGGGGGGAAAAAAGCTTGTTTTTAACTCAAGACTTAGGCCTCGGGGCTCAGGACTTGGTGCCAAAGTCTCAGAGTTGGGACATGGCATCAGACTCGAAAAAAGAGAGGCTGTAAAGTGTGAGCTGTTTTGGGGGCTGCTGAACCCGGATTCGCAGCACGGATACAGAGAGCGGCTTTAGCTCCCTGCGTGATCCCCGGAGTCCGTGCGGAAGGCCAGGCCGTGTGTTGGGCTTAGCATGGAATTGGGGTCTCAAACCGGAAGCCAGGTTTAGGTTGAATATCAGGAAAAAAACTTAGAGCAGAACGACAAGGGAATCCATGATCTCGGGAGGCAGTGAGCGCTCAAATGCTGGAGAAACGTGGACCACCCTCGTTCCGATCTGCTTGGGTTAGGTTTAGGTTGAATATCAGGAAAAAAAACTTGGAGCAGAACGACAAGGGAACCCATGATCTCGGGAGGCAGTGAGCGCTCGAATGCTGGAGAAACGTGGATTGTTCCTATCTGCTTGGGTCTGTATTCCTGCCCTGACCAGGGGGTTGGACTGGATGGCCTTCGAGGCCCCCTTCCGACTTGGTTATTCTAGGATTATTCTACGTCAAGGAAGAGCTTCATCTTTGTTTGCTTCCCGGTTCGTGGGCTGCCGGGGTGCCCTGGATTCTCACCCCAGCGGGCTCCGGAGTGAGGCACGAGGCTGACTAACCGGGCTAGCTAACCTTCTCGCTCTCCTTTTGCATGCCTGCCCCCCAACCACTTGCCTGCCGCGAAGGATCCCTTGCAGGATTCTGCATGTGCCTTGATCTGCTGTCGGTCGTGTGGACACATCCTCAACGGCTGGGGACACGTGGATTGTTCTTGTGGCACAGCCGTCTCCTGCATCCTGATCTTTTGGGGGGTTGGCACCGGCATTGTCGTGTGTCATGTCCAATATGCCAGTCAGTCTAGAGGAGAAAAGATTATGTCTCCTCCACTAATGGAAAAATCTCTCTGTTTTTAGTCACCTTCAGGAGGACCTCTGGCAGGTGTGGTCCAGTTTTATAACCCTTCTCAGTTTACACAGGTAAGGTGGGGGGGTGTTTACTTTTTACATTTGCTTGTAACTCCCCTTGAAAGAGTGAGATTCCTTTTTATCCCTGTTTTTACTTTTTAAAATTGCTTTAATTTTTAAAACTAAAGGTATGCTAAAAAAAAACATAATGAAAGAAAACACAGTACAGTAGGACCCCCATATCTGCGGGATTCTTATCCACAGTTTCATTTACCCACAGGACCCCCATATCTGCGGGATTCTTATCCACGGTTTCATTTACCCACAATCTGAAAATTTTAAAAGAAAAAAAACCTAGAAATGCACACTCAGTAAGATACCCGCATATATCAGTGAAAATATTTTTATGTAACAAACCCTTCTTCCTTGTGAATACATAGAAGACTCTAATATTCTTTTATCCTATATGTTTTTCTCCACCTCGGTATGTATTTCTTTTGCCGAATCATATTCCCATAACATTTTAAGGACATCTTGATGGTCCTCGGTGTCTATTAATATGTTATAAACTCTTCCTCTTATCCATCTCGTTTTACCCCCTTTTTTACCGATGGGAAATTTGAGGGAGTTCCTTACATATTAAATACGCAGCCAAATAGAAGCATTTCTGTACAGTGATGTATTTGTGCAAAAACCCAAATTGTCTCTTTTTTCTTTGTGGGCCGTTTATTTCTTGTTGCATAGGTTAAAAAAACTGGATTCAATATGTTGTGTTGTCTTTCCAGCCTGCTGCAGGGTCGGGAAGCTCGAGACCCAGCAGAATCGGACAGAGGAAATATCCCACCTTAAAATAGCCTCCAGCAAACCTGTGTTCTGGGCTGTCGTACGTGGATTTAAAAGGACTTCCTCAAGACTCTCGGCACACGAACTGGTCCACTCTCGCGCGCTAAGGAGGACAAACCGTACCTGCAGGTTTTCTGCTGAGACTCTGAGCTATATAAATTACCAAATACACCCTTTTAGGTAAAAGCCAGCTGGAGCGTTTTAACTTCAGAGAGAGAGAGAGAGAGAGAAATCAACACAAGGGAGTGAGAACTCTCCTCCGGGAATTGGAGAGGAAGGGTGGCATTTCCCCTCTTTTGTTGACCATGTGGATACTCTTTGGCGATTCGCGCTTCCTTGAAGAAAGGGGTATTTCCTCATAAGTAGGGAACATGAGTCATATTTTTGTCATTACAATTCGTGGCCTTACCAGGACCGTTTTTATGCATCGAAACCATCCGCTGGGTTGTACCGTTTCTTCGAAACCTTGGAGATCCTTGGCTGGGATTTTTTTTCTTTTCACGTATTAAATGCTCCCTTCCCTCCTCCTTGGAGGAGGAGGAAGAGGAGGAAGATCACAGCTCATCCAAATAAACAGATAGATGTATAACGAATGGCAGGAGGGAAGCGAAAACTGTGATTTGTGATCTAAGGTTTATAGGTGGACGTGGGGTTTTCTTGAATCTGTACGTAAGTCTTGTGTTTAGGCTCCTTGTAAAGTTGAGCTGTATCGTCTGCGCAAGAAAAACTGTACAGCCAGCGGTGTGGCTCCCTTTCTAGTGATGAAGTGCAATACGGATCGTTCTCTCTCTTAAAACTCTGTCACAGAGTCGGCATTTAAGGCCGTTAACGGCTCCAAGCGGAGTTGAGCTCTTAAAAAGTGCAGCGTGGACAGCTGTTTGGGGCTCCTCTGTGATCCACCCCCCCCCCCTTTTACTTCAACTTAATTAGATTTGCATTCGGGAAGTCTGTCCAGCCGTAGACCTGAAACGCTTTTCCTTTTCCTTCGGGATGTTTCTTAAGACTCCGAGGTATGTTATGTGAACGTCCACTTCAGCGCAACAACCCAAGACGTATTTGGGACTGAGTTCCCGTGGGTAGAGCGAGTTCGGTGTCTCGGCACCGTTACTGCTTAATGGATAGAAAACACGTTCAGCTGGATTTCTTAATATGGACTCTCAAAATTTATTTTTTTGTGTGGGTCAACCCCCACCTCTCTGAGATCTGGAAAGCCTTAAGATAGATGGCGAAGGGATGGCGATCCGGAGGATTTGCTGACGATGCACGGCCGAGGACCCCGGACTTTTCCGGACGACGGGATGGCCTTTCCGGATTTCCCCCCTTTACGCCGCGCCGGGTCTCCGATGCTCTCTCTCTCTCTTTCCTCCTGCGTAGACAGACGGCCCGCTTTTCAGTTCATAAAAGGCTCCCTCCCGCACAGAGGGCCGCTCCGTTCCGAAACGTTGGAATCGACACTGTACATTCTGAAATAAAATTATTTTGCGCTCTGGAGCACTTTTCACATTTTACTTGGCTTGTGGTTATTGGGGGGGCGGGAAACGGCAACTCTACACGGACGGACGCCTCTCAGTGCCGGGGAGAGATTGGGGCGGTTGTGCCGTCAAGTCACCCTCCGAAGCCCTGCTTGGCTCTTGCAAGCCCAAAGCCTGGGGGTGTCCTTTTAGGCCAGCGGGATGGGACCTCACCTTGGGTTAGTTCTTGGACTACAACTCCCATTGGGGCGGTTGTGCCGTCAAGTCACCCTCCGAAGTCCTGCTTGGCTCTTGCAAACCCAAAGCCTGGGGGGGGGTGTCCTTTTAGGCCAGCGGGATGGGTCCTCATCTTGGGTTAGTTCTTGGACTACAACTCCCAGGAGCCTTTGCCACCCGCTGTGCCGGCTGGGCCTTCTGGGAGTCGCAGTCCAAGGACGCCTGGGTGCGTCTCTCAAGGTTGGGACCCCCTTTCTCTCTGGACGGCTCGGTCCGGATGATCCTCCAGGCGCCAGTTTTGGAGGGTCTTCGGAGGCCACCCAAGGAGGGGGCGCCCCACCCTTGACGGCTCGGTCCGGATGATCCTCCAGGCGTCCGTTTGGAGGGTCCTTGGAGGCCACCCAAGGAGGGGGCTCCCCACCCTTGGTTCTTGGACTGCAGCTCCCAGAAGCCTTTGCTGCCCGCCAGGCCTTCTGGGAGTCGCAGTCCAAGAATCAGGATGGGGAGCCCCTGCTTGGAGGAGGAAGGGGTTGAGCTTTGGCGGAGCAGGAGGGAGTCCATGGGTCTCCCGAGGAGGAGGAGGCGGATTGTTTCCCCCCCCCCCAAAAAAGAGAAAAGCCCCACGACCTGACGGGAGGGCTCTCGCCTGGGAAGGCGCCTCATGGGCTTTGTCGTGTGCCTCCCTCCCTGCGCCACAGGGGTGTAGGTGTGTGTGTGTATCCCTTTCTCCGACCCCCCCCTTCTTGGAGGCCTCCCTGACCTAATATTTGGGGGTCCCAATTGGGGGGGGGAGAGGAAGAGAGAGGTCCTGAGGGGGGGAGGGAGGAAGGGAGGGAGGAGGAGGAGGAGGCGCCCCCC